AAATGCTGTAGGCATACGAATTTTGAAGAAAGCATTCTGATGACGTCATATATGCGGCGCGTACGTTGCTGACATATGTGCGTTCACCTTAAACATGATCTTTGTTTTGTCCATGTTCATCTTAAGACCCATCCGTTGAGAGGCACTATTGAGGTCATTGAGCGTAGTGCTTAAGTCCTCCAGCGATTCTGCCGTAAGGACTATATCGTTGGCAAATCGCAGGTGAGTGATGTACTCGCCATTGATGTTAATACCGTATCCTTTCCAGTCCAGTAGCTTGAAAACGTCTTCCAACGCAGCGGTGAAGAGTTTCGGGGGAAATAATGTCACCCTGTCTTACACCTTTCTGCAGTTGGATAGGTTTCGTACTCTGGTTCTATACTCAGATAGCCATCGTAGCCCTACTGTACAAACACTTCAGCACTTCGATATACCGACAGTCAACTTGGCACCGCTGAGGAGACTGTAGCATCGCCCGAATTTCGACGGAATCAAAGGCTTTCTCATAGTCCACATACGCCAGACAAAGTGGCGGATTGTACTCTTCGGACTTCTGTACAATTTGCCGAAGGGTATGTACGTGGTCTATGGTACTAAAGCCTTTTCGGAACCCGGCTTGTTCGGTAGGCTAGAAATCATCGAGTCGGCGTGCGAGACGATTCGTAATGACTCTCGAAAACAGCACGTAGACGCGGCTCATAAGGGATATCGGTCTGTAGTTCTTGGAGAGGGCGTTGTCACCTTTCTTGAAGAACAAGACCATCGCACTTCTTCTCCGCGCCTCGGGAGTAGTGCCTCCACGGAGGACGGAATAAAAGAGCTTCCGAAGGATTTCAAGTACCGGTTTTCCACGCGCTTTCAGAAGCTCCGCTGTAATTATCCTCGCCCGGGGACTTGCCGTTTTTAAGGTGCTGGAGAGCCATTCTAATCTCGCTCAGACTGATGTCCGGGATATCATCGGAATAGTGTCGGATAAGACTTACTCTTGGATCGTTACTCACACTTGCGTGTGGCTCCAACGATGATGTGCACAGCTGCACATAGAACCTCTCAATCTTATTCAGAATCTCAGGTGTCCCGGAAACGATGCTGCCACACTCAGTCTTCAGATTTGACAGTTGGCTCTTACTGGCAAACAGATCTATGGCAAAGACTTGATTTGGAGATCTGTCTGTTCAGTTGTCTGTATGCTGTCAAATCTGCTGACGACTGCAGCTTCATCGCCCGTCTAACATCCATAAGATTAAGAGTGTGATCGGAGTTTTTATGTTCTTCTGCAGTGGGTCTTGCAGAACTTAGCTTCTTAGCTCCAAGCGCATGGACAGTTTCCACGAGCTTGTCTATTATATCGTCCACTGTATTGCTGTCTTCTAGGCACTGAAAACGCTTTTGTAATTTGAGCTGAAATGTTTCGGGATTCTGGATTAGCGTACGAGGGGGACGGAGCGTTGACTTTACTAGACGAGACGTCTCCAACTTAACGTTTAAGTTCGGTGTGCCTCTAATCATTCGGTGATCGCTGCCAGTTTTCACCCTCGCGATCACTGAACAGTTGGCGTCTGGTCGTCATAATGAAGTCAATCTCATTTTTTGTCGAACCGTCGGGGCTCGACCAGGTCCACTTCCTGTGGGGCCGCTTCTGGAAGAAAGAGTTCATCATAAAGAGTCCCTCTTTCTCCATAAAGTCGGCCAACTGCTAGCCCCTACAGTTCCGTTGACCTTCTCCAAATTTCCGTAACTTCAGCTCACCGCTTTCTCTTGTGCCTAATTTTGCGTTGAAGTCTCCCATCAACACCGTGTAGTGGATTTTGGAGGAATGCTTGGCTCTAGAAATATCCTCATACATTTCCTTCGCCTTCTTCTCTTATCTATCTTCTCGTCAGTCCTCAGGGCGCGTGCGTTATATGTTGCCAGGTCGAGTCGTCGTAGGTGGCAACCGAACCTCCACCGGAGATTCTTAGCACCCCCTGCCCCGCCGTTACCATGGTCGCCACCGCCGCTAGGAATAGCGGGGCCGCCGGGAACTGGGGGCCGTTTGTTTGCGTCATTGCTCATGGGGGGATATTTGCCATAGTTGCCACGCTTGGCGAGCGGGTTTGCAACCGCAGTTTTTTATTATATTAGTGTTGTTATTAGGAAGATGCTGCTACCCATCTCCTGCCTAGTGCCCGTTTGTAATTTTTAAATACCAGCGTTTTACTAAATGCATATGAAAGTTTATACTGTACTTATAACAAAAGACAAACACAATTTTTAAAAATTGTTGACGCGAGCAGGTAGCTGATGTTATAGGGAGTAACACAGGCTTCTTTTATTTTAGGAAATGAATTAGGATTCCGCGTCAAAAAAATTTAAACCTATAAAATCCAATCGTAATAAACAGCACGCGAGCGAGGTCGCGGGAACAGCTGTTATGTAACTATTGTCATAATTTGTATTAAACTTTAACTTAATTTTAAATGCATTGTAGTTTATAAAGGAATATGTTTCGGTTTTAATTTTTATATCGATAGCTAATCGATAATTTTTGCTTTGCTTTGTGTATCGTTAATCGCCTTTTTAAAATCGATTTAATATTGTTCCATCTCCAGATACGCCTAACTGTAAGCTGTCACCTGCACCATGCTATAACGCAAAGACTATAGTAGTATAGTTATAGTACAAATGGGTCGGCTCGATCAGGGAAGGACCATACTCTCACAGAATACCAGCATAAAATAGCAGCTTATTGGTACTGTGTTTCGTATGGTGAGTGTAGAGAAACCAAGAGCTTTTTTACTGATAACGAAGTAAACATGCTAGAGACACAAATGGCTCGACAGGTGAATGACCACACTCACATAATACCAGTGTGAAATATCATGTGACCCTTTTAACTTTCTTAGTCCTCACGGGTGACAACGCATCTGCATTTTAATTCGTAATCGAGGACAGATGTAGATATCTATGGGATATAGATATATATACAAAAGAGCACACAGTCCACCTGATGGCAATCACTTACCATCAGGTAGACTGTGTGCTCGTTTGTCACCCTTGTTCTATAAAAGAAAAACATAAACTCTCACATCTGTTACCCAGGGGTAGGCAAATATTACTGACTTCCATTTGGCACAATCTTGACACACCTAAATATACACATAAAAAAACACAAATACGCAATTAAAAAAATAAGAATTAATAGCAATCACGTAAAAAAGATTACATACTGTAAAAAATGAATCAAAATTAAATGTGGGATCAATTTCAAATTTGTTGAATACTTAAGAAACACTAAATGTAATTTTTTAGCCCGTAAATATGACTGTCTCATCACTCTGTGACACCACAGAATATCAGCGTAAAATAGCAGCTTAACGCAGCTGTGTTTCGTATGGTGAGTTTAGAGAACTGGAGACCCTTTTTACTGGAAAGGATTCATTCCATCTTAGTCCTCACGGGTGACAACGCATTTGTGTTTTGATTCGTAATCGAAGATAGATGTAAATTTTTATGGGCCACAGCAACCACTTACCATCAGGTGGACCGTGTGCTTGTTTGTCACCCATATTCTATAAAAAGAAAAACATTTATCAGGTCAACATTAGAATACGCATTTCAAGTCTGGAACGACTACTTTATCAAGGGCATTAAAGCTTTGGAAAATGTATAGTGTAGCTTCACTAAAGTACCACGCCTATTGAAACAGCAGTCTTATGAAGAACGTTTGAAAATTTTAAATCTTACATTAAAAAACCGCAAGGACCAAGGAAATCTAATCGAAACGTTTAAGATCTTAAGTGGACATTACGACGTAGAGAAGTTTGACAAATTGTTTATTCGTAATGAAAACACTCGGCTCGGGAGCCGATTTTAAGCTTTGTACAACACACAACCCTTACAAGCACTTCATTTGTAACCCTGTAGTCATAGAGTGGAATAAGCTGCCATAGAATGTAGTCTCCAATTCAAGAATAGATTAAATAATCACTTTCTAAACTGCAGTAGTAGTAAATATTGGGCACAAACAGGATACAGGCATTATCAGTGGTCTCAACCGCCAGGCTGCTAATATATAATAATGTCAAGATCTTTCTAGAACTCTCCCACTCGCGCCTTCTAGTATCGAATGGAAGAACTAAGAAAGAAGGCCCCACACCACACTCGAACTTTCAGCACCTGGTCGGTCGGGGCCGGTATTTGCTGGCGTATTCTGGATATTTCGGTGGAAAAGGTCTATTTAAAGCCGTTGAGGGCCGCGACCGGGGCAGTAGTATTGAATTGGCGATACGAGCGAAGCTTTCGGAGTGAAATAAAGTGAACTAAAGTGTTAAGTGTGATTAATTATTAGTTTGATTTGAGTTTTAATTGGTGTTCAGTAATTAAAGTGTCAATTTTGGTAATTCAATCGGCAGTTTTTATTGTCACGAACCCTAAGCTCGTAACAATAATAATAATTTTATATCAAAAAAATACCATTACAGTTACACCCTATCAAAGTCCAATGCTGACAACTGGCATTGGCCTCTCCCCATTTCCTGTGGGAGTGATGTTTGCTTTAGTTGGCATGCTCAGCGAGCGGGCAACTGCAGGTATTTTTTCTTTTTTGTTATTGTTAGAACAACATCGCCCACCACCTGGTTTGTTTCCCTCTGTCGCCTCTTACCGACACCTGCGAGATGATATGCGGTTGTTTTTTTATAGAATAAGGGTGACAAACAAGCACACAGTTCATCTGTTGATAAGTGAATGCTGTGGTCCATAGACATTTACATTCATCCTCGATTAAGAAGCAAAACGAAGATGCGTTGTCACTCTTGAGGACTAAGACGAAATGTCTCATTTTTCGTAAAAAAGAGTCCGATTTTCTCTACACTCAACATACGAAATAGCAGCATTAAGCTGCTATTTTACACTGGTATTTTGTGAGAGCTTGGTCCTACATCGGTCGAGCTGCCCCGTTAAGGCTACAACTGTAATATAGCTGCACGTGGCTTTAGCACTATATACGTGTACTGCAGGGTGGAGTACGACGCGTACCGCAGCGAGCTGGAGGCAAGCGGCGGCAACCCGCCCGAGCTGCTGCTGGCCAGCATCGAGCGCCACCGCCGCCATTACGAGCGCCTGCGTGACGACTCTGCCGTCAAGCTGCAGCTGCTACACGAGAACAGGGTGCGTGCTCCACCATACACCCCCACCCTCTACCCTCCAGTAACCCGCCCGAGCTGCTGCGTGACGACTCTGCCGTCCAAGCTGCAGCTGCTACACGAGAACAGGGTGCGTGCTCCACCATACACCCCCACCCTCTACCCTCCAGCAACCCGCCCGAGCTGCTGCGGGTGACGACTCTGCCGTCAAGCTGCAGCTGCTACACGAGAACAGGGTGCGTGCTCCACCATACACCCCACCCACCCTCTACCCTCCAGCAACCCGCCCGAGCTGCTGCTGGCCAGCATCGAGCGCCACCGCCGCCATTACGAGCGCCTGCGTGACGACTCTGCCGTCAAGCTGCAGCTGCTACACGAGAACAGGGTGCGTGCTCCACCATACACCCCCCACCCTCTACCCTCCAGCAACCCGCCCGAGCTGCTGTTGGCCAGCCGAGCGCCACCGCCGCCACTACGAGCGCCTGCGTGACGACTCTGCCGTCAAGCTGCAGCTGCTACACGAGAACAGGGTGCGTGCTCCACCAACACCCCCACCCTCTACCCTCCAGTAACCCGCCCGAGCTGCTGCGTGACGACTCTGCCGTCAAGCTGCAGCTGCTACACGAGAACAGGGTGCGTGCTCCACCATACACCCCCCACCCTCTACCCTCCAGTAACCCGCCCGAGCTGCTGCGTGACGACTCTGCCGTCAAGCTGCAGCTGCTACACGAGAACAGGGTGCGTGCTCCACCATCCACCCCCACCCTCTACCCTCCAGTAACCCGCCCGAGCTGCTGCGTGACGACTCTGCCGTCAAGCTGCAGCTGCTACACGAGAACAGGGTGCGTGCTCCACCATACACCCCCCACCCTCTACCCTCCAGCAACCCGCCCGAGCTGCTGTTGGCCAGCATCGAGCGCCACCGACGCCATTACGAGCGCCTGCGTGACGACTCTGCCGTCAAGCTGCAGCTGCTACACGAGAACAGGGTGCGTGCTCCACCATACACCCCCACCCTCTACCCTCCAGCAACCCGCCCGAGCTGCTGCTGGCCAGCATTGAGCGCCACCGCCGCCACTACGAGCGCCTGCGTGACGACTCTGCCGTCAAGCTGCAGCTGCTACACGAGAACAGGGTGCGTGCTCCACCATACACCCTCCACCCTCTACCCTCCAGCAACCCGCCCGAGCTGCTGTTGGCCAGCATTGAGCGCCACCGTCTACCTTTCACTAACACCCTCTACCCTCCACCCTATATCCTCCACTATTCACCTTCTACCCTTCACTATCCACCATTCATCCTCTACCTCCACCGTCCACCATCTACCATCCTACCCTCCATCATGGGTGTCGTAGGAAACGACAGTGGGAATACCAGAAACTTCTTATGGCTGATAGATAGCAGTATAACTACCTCCTTTAGACTCACGACCGAACGACGACAAGACAAAGCAATTAGCTATATACTATTTTACCACTCAAGAAATGAAAATAGATATAGATTCCATGTCAATAAAAGATCTAGAATAGTTCGCTGTTCACACTGCCGACTAGAACTACTCCACTCACAAATTAGTTTGTCGCAGTTATAAGAGCTATTAAATATAAAACTCGCTCGGCTATGCTCGTTTCTCGCGACTCGTAACTCACGACGAGAGGCCAACCAGTGGTCAATTTACTCTACAGTGCGGATCTGAGTGCACCGCTTATGATCCAGCAATTTACATTCAAACTTCCATAACAACCAAACCGGCAACGAACAGCGGCATGAGAGATATAAGACATCTGGCACTGCAATCAACTGTCGATAAGCCTGACGAGTACAAAGCGAATTCTTATTACAATGTCAGAAACCTATGTCCAGCTGTGAACTTTTATGAACCAATTGGCTGTTTCCGAAAGAGGAATGCCCACTCTTCATAGACATTTCGGCCATGGGTGCCCACATATAAAAGCATATAGATATGATAATATACAATTAAAGGAATGAAATGGTTAAGAAATTGGTTTAAAAAAAGTCGGGAATTTTAAGATATAAAAGTTTTTATTTTCACAAATACAGTTTTTTAACAACTAATTTTACCGATGTTATCGCATTTAATTTCTTTGATTTTTAATTCCCGACTTTCGGGTGCTTTCCAGCACACATGGTCATGGGGGATTGAGGTGACTGGTGTACCGAAATCAGTGTTAACTTGGAGTAACTTCAGCTTTTTAATAACTATTTATGGTCCGATCTACGCAGAATGAACTTACTGTCCTGAAGTCTTGCATGGTATGCTTGGGTTTAGTTTTAATTTTATTAATTACAGTGTCCCAAGCAGGTGGAAATACCCAGCTTCATTCTCTATTGAAATTAGAATGTTTGAATATGGGTGCAATACATTACCGACTTCAGATTGCAACGAGGATGAATTAGATGATTCAGATGGTTCCCGTTCTGCAGTTGAATGTGATGCTGCTCTATCAAACCTTCGCCAACAATTATGACACACACGAGATGACGATAGCAACTGAAATAATATTAAATAAAAAAGTGAAAAAGTGAACTAAATAAAAATAAAATAGATTTGTTTCCTTTAAACTCAAATACATATAAAATATTTACTACTTAAATGGTAGTTACTGATTCTACATTCTGGAGGTACATAGTAATTGTATTCACAAAAAGACATACCCGCAATGTTGATGGAACTGTGAGTTGATTGGAATAGTTACAACCAGGAAAAAACATTGATTTTGTGTGAGTGGTGGTCTTACAAAATTAGGCAGCAGTATATTGTACGATGTATGATCTAAGCTTTGTTGTTCTAGGTTCAATATATTACTCACTTTAGATTGCAACGAGGACGGACTAGATGATTCAGATGGTTCCCGTTCTAAAGTTTAACGTGATGCTGCTTTATCAGTCCTTTGCCAGCAATCATGACACGCGATGACGATGGCAACTGAAATAATATTAAATAAAAAAAATAAGACAAAGTGAACAAAATAAAATAGATTTGTTTACTTTAAACTCAAATATAGGTAAATGTTACTTAAAACTTAATGCCCTATATTTTTAATAATTAAGGACTAACTGCCTACCAGTAGTACAAAAACAATTAAAAATCGACTTTCTCATTTCTTGGTATTTGATAAAAATTGTCCATTTTGTAACTATCTGGTGTTAGCTAGCTAATCTTATCGCCATGTTATAAATAAGCTATTATGTTTGTCAGATATAGCTTGTGCATATGTTAAAAAATAAAACAACTTCATCATTTCATTCATTCATCACTATCAAATATCAGCACTAGAATTATTAAATTAAAACTGTTAAACACTTACTTTTAACTGTTGTCACACTATAATGTGATCGACAATCTCACTTCATATGAGTTCTTGAGAATTTATTTGAAAAATAACAAACAAAATAACACAATTGCGACTATTTAGTTGTGAATTCTCTAGTATCTTTTTACTTGTTGAATTGTGATTTCATTTTCATTCCCAATTCGCATGACATATTTCCTAGCTGTCAGATTTGATGTTGCCACATAACTAACATAAATACACAGTTTAATCTGTGCATAAATACAATGAAACGATATCGATTTTTATTCGATTAGTAATTTAATAAAAAAAGTAATGTATGAGGCGCTTTAAGTTCTACACGCTTTTTAAAATATATTTTCTTTTATTTATTTAAATTCTTTTTTCAATGTATTTTTAAGAACAGTTAAAATGTGGATTAGCGTATTATCATGCTCTAAACAGTTCATGGTGAATCAGCTAAAGATTCACTTCTTTAATTATCATAACATGATTCCATTTTAAATGTATTGTTAAAACAGATAACAATTACTGTTAAATTGTGCAGCAGCATTTTGTTATACTCTAAAGAATTCATAGTAAATCAGCTAGTAATTCGCTTTTTTTAATTATCATAACATCATAATATCGATTCGATTATTATTCGATTAATAATTCCATAAAAAGAGAATAATCTTGGAGGTGCTTCTGCTCGCTTTTTAAAATGTATTTTCCTTTATTTATTTAAATTCTATTTTAAGTGTATTTTTAAACAATAACAATAAAATAGTAGTAAACCACAGCACTACTCTCCATCCTAATGACGATACTGTCGCGACTGGACGACAACGGCGTAGCTGACCTTCCTTTTTGAAACATTCTTAGAATGTTGTGTATCGATTTCAAAATCGATCTAACCGAAATATACAGACATCGATTCATAATATTTTATGTGTCGGGGAAGGCGTAGGCCAAGTGACGCACAGAAGAAAAGTCTTACACTCTTATGACAATGGGGATTTGATATGATGCTGATACTGCTAGATGATTTTGAGACTGAGAAAGAAAATGGCACAACACAAAATGAAAAATTGCTCTTCACACCCTAAGTAAAAAGAACATTAATTGTAATTTTGTATTATTATTAAAAAAGGTACATAATTATTCATTAATCAACAATTGTATATAATTATTCGCACTAGGTAAATCAGCCTTATAATACTAAAATCTTGGTCATGGAATAAATAAACATATTTGTTCACCAATCAATCAAAAAACACCATTGAGCTGAATTTTTGATAGTTTTCAAGAAATCTATGCCACCCGCGTTTGACACTAGCGGTCAACCATAGACGACTTTGGCGTGCAGGACATATTATTTGCTTAGATAAAAATCCATTTTTATTATTTCAATGTTTCTTAGTACTTGTGGCTCTAGAAGACTTGTTTTTTATACTCACATGTTGCTGGGTTATTCCTATTTTGAGGAGTGTAGAATTAAAATACCTGTAATAATTTTCCAATATCTATATTTCATATTTTTCGGAGCCGGGTTTTTTGTCAACTATAGACGTCGTTGGCGCTCAGGGCCCGCAGGTGTTGGTCAAGTATAGGCGACTTTGGCGCTCCAAAGGTTAAAGGATTCATGGTAAATCAGCTGGAAACTAACTTGTTTCGTTATCATAACATGATTCTATTTTAAATGTATTGTTATAAACAGATAAGAATAACTTAACCGATCTTCTTTAAAAACAGATAAGAATAACAGTTCTTATCTGTTTTCAAAGAAGATCGGTTAAGATTAACAGTTAAATTGTGCCGTAGCATTTGTTACTCTCTAAAGAATTCATTGGAAATCAGCTAGTAATTCGCTTGTTTAATTATCGTAACATCATAATTATTTAAAAATTATATTAGCACTGTAATGATGACACCGTATCTATCGATCGAAAAAGAGAATCGATTTTTTAAATGTGTTTTGTGATTGGCAACACTTTTTTTTATTCACAAACTAATGACATAATGATTTACCTAATTTTTATTATTATGTTTCCGGTACTTTTAATTTGTGCAAAAATATTCCCATTGTTTGAGGATAAATGAATACCGCGATTAATAACCATAAATAAAGATATAATTTTTTAACAAATTCACATTGTTGGGCGTTCCATGGCCGAAAATGGGCGTCCCCCTTTAAAATTTGTTTTTTTTTTTTTATAACTTATAAGTTTATGCATATGCTAGTGTGTGTATATATATATATATATATATATATATATATATATATATATATATATATATATATATATATATATATATATTAGCTTACCAGGCAGACGTTGTTCTACCTTTTTCGTCGACTCTATCATGTTCTATTAAACACTAACGACAACAACTCATGAGCCAAAAATACTATTCTATCTCTTAAGTTTGACCAAACTACACACGGTGTGCAAATTTGATTAAAATCGGTTAAGTAGTTTAGGAGTCCATCGCGGACAAACAACGTGACACGTATATATATATATATATATATATATATATATATATATATATATATATATAATGTAGTTAATTGTCATACGTTTTGTGTTGTGTTCTTTTATTCTATATTGCCACACCTGTGTCAAATTTTCACCACTCTATGTGTTGACTGGTAGATGGTGATATACTTTCATATGCATTTAGTAAAAAGCTGTTATTTTGACGTTACAAACTTCACTTCAATTTTATTTATTTGTATAGATAAAGTAAGGAAAGTTAACTAAAAACAAAGTATGGGTGTTACAGTGGGCAGTGCTACCTGCATTGATTGATGAAAAGCTTAGTTCTATTACTTTAGGGAAAACTTGTTATGTACATTACATTAAAAGAAAAATCAATTAAACAGTCTCATTGATACCGAGAATCGAATGAAAAAATAATATTTTTGAAGTCGCAAACATGTTTGGTTCCAGGTGAAGGTGATGAACAAGCAGCTACTGCTTTTCCACAACGCGGTATCCGCGTACTTCAGCGGCAACAACGTGGCGTTAGAAGCTGCCGTGCGCCACTTTAGTGTGCCCGCCCCGCCTCACGCTACGTCACACGCTACGCCACACGCTACGTCACTTAATACGCCGCATGCTACTTCACTTGCTACGCCGCATGCTACGTCACTAGCTACGCCACATGCTACGTCACACGCTACGCCGCACGCTACGCCGCACGCTACGTCACACGCTACGCCGCACGCCCCACCTCTCGCCACGCCACCCTCATAGGAGTACACTTGTCACAAACTCTACTCGCCCCCCTCCACCTCCACTGGACAAGTACGTACTTACAATTATAACTACATACTATGATAATACTATGAATGATATAATACTGTCATTGAAGCTTACAAGTAACTAAAAACTCACATAGCAAATGTAAAGATTGAATTTTTTATAGAATAAGAATGAAACGAGCACACAGCTCACATGATGGTGAGTGGATGCTTTCATACATCTATGTCTATCCTCCATTAAGTATCAAAATGCAGTAGCATTTTCATCCCTGAGGAATAAGATGGAATGCCTCACCATACATCACAGCAACATTAAGCTGCTATTTTACGCTGGTATTCTGTGAGAGTCCTCCTGTCGGGCCCACCCATTCATGCTTTATCCATAATATAACTACAGCATGGCTCTACACCACTACTACTACCACGGTTAAAAAAAGTATATATAAAAAAAATTATTTAAAAATACTTTGTGTGCATTCATGTGTTTTCAATAACCAATATTTGTTTAAAAATTACAGTTATTGCTTCATATTTTACTTCGGAATACTTTAATTATATGAACTTAATTTACTTATAGATAAAGCTGAAAATTCATATTGTCCATACTGTAAACATGTTTAATATTTAAACTACAAATTTGTCCAAAACTTTTGTCCTAAAATTCTTTAAATCTTTAAAACATGCAAATAACAATGAAGTACTTACTGTAATATTATTTATAAAAATTACTAGTTTAAGCAAAAATAGAATAACGCTTAAGTTGAATGTTATATTATAATTAAATCCTAATATTTTATAAATTTATACTTTTAAAAATGTATGATCTCACCATCAAAATACAATTTAAAACATTGCAACACACAAATAAGTGATTTGGACGCAATGAGATCATTTTTTCATAGAATGGGTGACAGATAACCACACGCTCTCCCTGATGAGTGGATGCTATTGCCGTAGGACAATGCAAAGGCAAGTGTATTGTCACCCCTGAAGACAATGATTGTACCATAACCAGTAAGAATGGTCTCTGCTCCTCATACATTTACCATACAAAACAGCATGATTCTGCTGTTTCACTCTGGTACTCTGTGCGTGCGGCCCTACACAAGGCAAGCCTTCTCATTCATGCTGCAGCTGTCTATAGCTAGCATAGGTTGCAGTGTAGCGTAAATAATTGCCATAAAGTAAAAGAGTTTGTTACTGCTTTATATTATTAAATAGCTTTAATACTTATAAGCTCATTACAGTGACATTTACTTTGACACATGACTTAATAAGGATCATTGGGTGCGTTTGGCAGAAAAAAGCGCTAGCAAGCGCTTATAAGCGCTAAAATAGTTTTCCGCCAGGACACGATTGCTACTTCAGTAACGCTGACACAATCCGCCATTTTGCTTATTTAATTTGTTTGTTTTGAAGTAGAGTTTATAAGTTGTTTTGTGCAATATTAGTTTTTAATAATATAATAACGTGAATAAACATATACATGTTATTAAAAATTCATGATTGGTAAGTTTTTAATATGAATACTTTACAAACATATATTTAAATTAGGTTAGGTTCCCCGGTTAAAACTAACATCGTGTCCTGGAGGAAAATAGCTACTTACGATTTGACAGCGCTTACCGCTTACGATCGCCATTTTGCTTACAAGCGCTTGCTAGCGCTTTTTTCTGCCAAACGCACCCATTGTTCCATGAATGCAGTATTTTCAACAAAAATACAGGTCATATTTTGATTTGAGTTCATGACCAAATTTTATTGTGATATTTTTATTGATTTCGATTTTAGTGTTTTAAGAAAATATTTAATAAGTATTTAAACACTACATTTTATCTAATAGCTATATCTTAAATAATTCAATTTGACTTCAATATGACATTTCAAATATTTAATTATTATACTATCTGTAAAAACTGTGACATTCCAATAAAAAATCTTGGTGGTTTGGTTTTATTTTCTTGCAAATTATGTTTGCATTTAACAACTTCGTGAATTCATATTTGAATATAATGAATATTCCAACCACTAAAATGGAAATAGAATACTTTATACTCAATTTAAATTGTATATAATGTTAATTATTGAAAGCCACTCTTGCGTTTGCTTTACCACCTAATCCTGGCAATAACCTGCAAGAAATCCAACACGACATTTTTTTAAACTATGTTATACACAATTAACAATTCAAGTCATATTAGAAATAACTTGACAGCAATCTCCCCATTGTTGGTAGTTACTATCATTCCTAACTAAACTTGGCAATGGCAAACTAAGTGGACAATTTTGAGTGTAAGGATATTTTTATTACAATGGACATAGTGTATACGCCCTGTTGTAAAATTAGACAAGAAAAGCTTCGCAAAAGCTTTTAAATAAATGTAGTTTATTTGAATGAGTTATACTTACAATGTGGCTATGATACTGTATTGATAAATGTATTATTTTAATGAAATGTTTTATTCTCTACTGATGTTATGTTACAGCACAACTTGGCCTTCCTTAAAAGCATTGTATTGGCAGCAGTGTCAATGGTAGCATATTATTTATAATTTTAATAAAATGTATGTTGGAAAATATACAATTACCATATCTCCATATAAATGATGTGTTTATATATCTAGACCTTTTTATCTACTTAGGTTTCTACAATTTTATTATATTGTATACTTGACATGACAATATATCAAAGTAGCCCAATAATTGGATTTATCAGACATCAGTGTAGTATTGTTAAATGGGAGTACATTCTAGCTAGTCAAAGTGCATTTTATAGTTTTCTATAAGTTAGTAAAATTTATTTATTATATTGCTAAACATATAAATAGAAATTAATTATGGTTTTAAATGAAATGTTTGTGCTTTTATTTAAAGCAAGTTTTTATTTTACATAATCTAGTATTATTTGGAATTGTAAACTAATTAGTGCTTCACAAAATAAAACAAAATGTAAAAACAATATTATGTATTGACAATCACTATGTAATTGTACAATAAATTATATACATATATTTTATGTTTTATTTACATTTACCCACAGCAACAAGAGCTATTTTTTTACATTCATGCACTGGTCCTCGACTTCACTGCAATTTACATCTGTACAATTGTTTGACAATTTCACTTTAAGTGCATTTCTCACATTGTTTCCGACTTCTCCCAGACTTTAATGAGTTAAGCCTTCACTACTTCTTTATCACCCTCCTCACTACATAATTCTTCAACTTCAGCTTGGAATTTTTCCTGCAAATATTATATATACATACATATTTTGTTTTTCATTTCCAGTACAAAAAAGCCTAAAGTTGATTATACCACTACAGTTTTTTTTCTTTTATAAAAGGAGATATCTTTTATATGGCAGATGTGAACGGCAGAGTCGGGAAGGGACGCCTTAGAAGAAAGTTAATCGACCAAATTGGCGATATTTTGAAAATGGGACACATTAGAAGTATCCTTAACCGACGAGCATGTATGCGTAGACATATGGATGTAAACGAGGCGAAAGAGGTATGTCAGGATCGTGTCAAATGGAAGTCCGTGGTCTCTGCCTACCCCTCTGGGTGACAGGTGTGAGTGTTTATGCTATGCTATGCTATGCTATTTCTCTGACATGCATGTTTCCTCACAATGTTTTCCTTCATCGCCGAGCATGTGGTAAATCAGCACTTAAAATTGCAATTAACAATTTCATTGGTGCCTGCGGAGATCGAACCCGGTTTGCTCACACACTGTGAAATTTAAAGCGAGCACTAGCCATCTGAGCTACCATGGCTCTTACAGCTTACTATAACAATCAACCTATTCCAATAAAGAACAAGTTCGCTTTTTTTTCTATCAGAAAATTAAGAAATTAATTAATTTGCAACCTTCCGCCAACTAAATACAATGATGTGTCTCCTTTAATTGCATGCACCAATCTTGTCACCACTACTCCCGTCACCACTACTCCAGGAAAGACACACCAATGATAATACGACACGTGATGTAGACTCTACGGCGGCTGACCGCTGGAGTAGTAGTGTTGGGAGTAGTGGTGCTGGGATGTGGTGACGGGATTGGTGCATGCAATTGAGGGAGGGCTGGAGGTGCTCTTCAATCCAGGTAAGACACATCATTGTATTTAGTTGGCGGAAGGTTGCAAATTAATTAATATCTTTATTGTAATGGATTTCCGCAAAGTAACGCCTGATTCTATCAATTATATCAGAAAATTGTTGCCTCTGTATTCATAATCCATCATTTGAAAATTTCAACATGATGTAAGGACACATAATGGGTATGTTCCGAAATACAACGCAGTGTACTGTCCAATGCAAATGACGTCATCATTTGACACTTTATTGTACTAGCGTGCCGCCGCCATATTGTGTCGGATATCCGGCCATAATAAAACAATTTTTAATTGTGTATTTGCCGAATAAAGCATGCCAGAATTTGTTTCTATTTATTCAAATACAAAAAATTATAGAATAATTGATGGTATATCCATTAGCATGATATAATGATTTTTGGAGCACAAAATGACAAAATAATCGCCAACACTTCTCCAAATGGCGCAAAAGTATAACGTCATATACTGTCCAATGTTTTGGAACGAATCACCAGTATAGCGTCGATTCATGACGTCATTTGCATTGGACAATACACTGCATTGTATTTCGGAACATACCCTATATATCTCTTGTTCAGATCCAGATATCTCTGATTTACTCGGCTCTGATTAAGGTAACCTTACAGTTTGGCAAATATGTTGAGGTACATTAACTCTCAAGTTCATGTAGGTTATTTCTAATTATCTCAGACTAATTTTGATGATTCAAAAAACAGGAATGAATATTGGGTTATATTCTGTAGTCTTTTTTTTACATCAGCATTAAATAATAGTAATACCACATTTAAGCTTACCAGATCATAAATAACCTTCACGACAAGTGAACAACTTGGACATGTCGCTACCTCTTCCCCGGCCATAAGCTCCTCCTAAAATGT